CCAGCGTCTGCTGCCGGTGTTACACCAAATTCTGCGACCCGTCACAATTTGTGACCCCTGGGGGCAGTGTTGCGTTTTGTTGCGTCTGTACATCCTGAATTGGCATGAAAGAAGAAGATGCTACATTAAAACCGTAAACTACGTAAGCTTTGAGGAAGTTGTGCGGCGCGGACCGTGGTCACACAATATGATAGTGGCTATCACATAATGTGGCCATCTGCATCTCAGTAATAATGCAGATGTCTTTAATTTTCACAAAAGATAATAACAAAAGGCGTTTTGGGATGTTTGTGTAATTTTATTTCCCTTTTATCTCCACCAGTACATATGAGCGGCATTGGAGTGACAGAAAATAAAACGTAGCAACCAGATAACCTGCAGTGGTTTCTAATAAACTGAGGATGTAGATCACAACAATTTATTTCAATAAATGGAAGTTCTGAACATTTTACCTGCGGACCTCACATGTTGTGAAATCAATATTTAACGTTAGCAAACATTTCTTGTCAAAGCCCTGCTTATCGCTGCATTTATTGTCCCGTTTGTTTGCAATAAACATTAACACACGCTCTTTTTAATATCCACGGTCCGCGCCACACAACTCCCTCAACGGTTACGTAGTTTACGGTTTTAACGTAGCATCTTCTTCTTTTATGCCAATTCAGGATGTACAGACGCAACAAAACGCAACACTGCCCCCTGGGATCACAAATTGTGATGGGTCGCAGAATTTGGTTTAACACCGGTGTCTGCAGCTCGGTAGTCTCGGACAAACTAAACATTCCTCTCGCTCAGCTCCGAGTTTACTCAGCTATTTGCCGACATTGAAACCCAGAAACGGAGATTTTAACCACTCAGTAATGTGTTCACGACTGAAAGAGAAAGTTTTCCAACTAACTTCCAGACAGAGCCGATATAACTCCAGCGAGCAGCGACACGCTCAAATCAGCACAACTCTGTGGCTGTAGTAGATGAGTAGAATAGAAAATCCCTTTATTGTTCCTCAGTGGGGAAAGCTAGACGTCACAGCAGCGATGACACGTATTACAGAAGAAAAAAGGACAATAAAACATAAGACAAATGAATAAACAACAACAAAACATAAATCCTGACTAGAGTTTAAAAATGCTGAATAAACCACAAGTAATGAATACCACCGATGCGTTTTATTTAAAACTGACTTGCTCGTGTGTAATTCAGTTATTCCACATTTAGTGTTAATGCAAAAATAAGTTTGTTTCCAAATTTAAAGGTTCAAAAATGCATATATGTTGATAAAGAAAATGTGCAAATTTGCCGTCACAGTTGCAAAAAATGTTAAGTTTGGCCCTCGACTCCGTCCCAGAGTTTCATTTCGGCCCCGTGTGAGTTTGAGTTTGACACCCCTGCTCCTCACCAAGTAAATACTTATTTACTTTTTTATGGGGGGGGGGGGGGGGGGGGGACTTTTATTTCATATCTTTGATTTGCTGCTTGAAGTTGAAACAAAAACCTAATTAATAGTGAAAGTTACTTTGTTTTTAAACGTCGACCTTCAAAATGCTGAAACCCGCTCATCTGAAGTTCAGTTAGACCAGGAAAATAAACAGCTCATGTTGGAGCAGAGTGATAAGCTGAGACACACAGAGAGGCTGTTTAATGATCTCTGAACACAATTTTACTAGTATTCTAATCTGCAGCGGTCACCAGCATGCTGTCAGGAAGCTCTGGTTTTGGAGACGAGCTGCTTGCAGCGCTGCATCAAGTCACACTTTATTTTATGTCCTGACGCGTCGTCACCTGCAGAAACCTGAGCAGAATTATATGTCTGACTCTCGATGCTTTCAGCAGCCGGAAAATATGAACCAGTGTTGTTGGATTTAGTAAAAGGACCAAAATATTACAGTTAGGATGACTGAGTGATGATTCTTAAGGTTTAGATTCAGGATTAAATGCTTGTGAAGGTCAGAAGTTTTAACTGGAACTGAGAGATCATTTCTAGACAGTTTGGCTAGAAAACAAAGCGACTTACAGGCTGTTGGAGGACAAAAGATGGAGAACGTGGTAACTTTAACAAAACTGATTTTATGATTCTTCAGGTATTGATTAATAAATATTACTGAGTTTTAAAATACACCTTCTATCAGAACACTTAAACTAACCAGGATGTGTTTGTTATGAAAGCAAAATAGTTCTGATTGTTATGCATCATGGTAATCAACATTTAAATAAAATCAGATTCTGTTTATATGGCGCTACATTAATACATTAGTAATGCAAAAACAAAATAATCATAAAATCAGTAAATAAAAACATTTAAAAAGTTTAAAAACATCCTCAAGTAAAAAGGTTGTAAAAGGCATCAGGTCAGAATCATGATCCACGTGGGAAGGCTAACAGTAAGCCAGTCCAGGTGAAAAGGTTTGATCTCCTCAAAAACAGAAGAGAAGCCTCGGTGTCTGCTTCAGTGGTTTAACAAACAGGCAGTAAATCAAACCAGGTCATAAACAGTCAGCCTGAACTCACATGGAAGTGAAACGCCTTTCATCTGAAACGTGGAAAAGTAAAAGTAATAAAAGCTTTTAATAATCAGAGACTGCAGGCAGCAACGCGCTCAGCTTCAGGGAAGCGGGAGGCAGACGGTATGAGTAGAAAATAAAGAATCGTGAAACACGATTCCCAATGCTCGGATGAATTAAGCTTAGTGACTGTTTTCAAACTGGCTCTTTTATCTTCTGACATCTTAGATAAATGTAAAAAAATCTGATCTGTCTGTCTCATATCGGTTTATTCAACCGTGGAAGTGTTAAGGGCGGACCCAGTAGAAGTTTTTGCATGAATTAAATTAGTTGTTTTAGATGCTCCATCAAAAGGACTGTAGCGGTTCCAGAAACGTTTTCAAACATTCAACAGATCAAAGTCTTGGTGAGAATTCAAACAAGTCCAACGAGTCAACGTAAAAAATCTGGGAGATGCACCCATTCAGCTTCTGACAGCCGATACCCAACTCTGGTTTATTAAACCAACCAATGTTACTTTAAAATCTCTGATGAATGAAATCTGAAAGTAAAAACACCTACATAGTGTTGTTGCTAGCACCATGGCTAGCACTTAGCAACGCTGACTATGTGGACGTGGAAAAATGCCAGATTGTTTTCACTGATGGTTGGTAATAGTGTGTTTATAAACCAGTGAAAATAAAATATCATTTTGAGTATCAAAGTAGCTGAGATCATGCATTTCTGGGAAAAAAAAGTGTTGTAAACCTAAACAACAGTCAGTCAAAGAAAAGCATCGCAGACGTCAGTCTGGGGACAGAACGCTGCACTTTTAGAAATTTTGACTGAGTGGGTACATAACAGTATTATTATTCTATATACAAAAAGACGAACCTTTACCATGTTCAAAAACTCACCAAATGTATACCAAACATAGATTTTGCGTGAAAATATATTTTAAAGGCGCCGCAAAAATTGCAAAGGAAATTGCTCAACAGCGACCCCTGGAAGCGGGAAAAATCTGCATCCCAATGTACTTTTTTTTCATAGTAGATGTGTGAATTTTAATACACTTGTAGTACTCCCCAAGACGCACAGAAAAGTATCCTGTAGCCATGGTCAAGACCAAACAGGAAGTCGGCCATTTTGGATTGAAGTTGCGCTTTTGAGCCCGAAATGGCTGTTTGTAGGGTCTGCATACGATGGCAGTAATCCTTAGATTACCAGAAAAATTTGCCTTTTGTAAATGTGGAGGGCCTCAAACTTTGACTACTTGCCAAAAAATATAAATGTGTCATGAACAGAACTCAGAAGACCCGTAATGACGCCAAACACAGTAAAATTCCTTTAAAGTCTTTATTTGGATGAGGAGTTACGCGAGGAGGGCGAGGCAGGAGACAGAGTCGGAGGGCAGGCGTGAGTAAACCAGATCGGCACAAGCAGGTACAGGGAACAGGCTGGAGACGTGGCAGAAGACAGGCGAGGGTCGTGATGGCAGGCAGAGTTCAAGGCAGGGGTCAGGAGAAAAACGAGGTCCGGAGGCAGAGATCAGGCAGGGTGGATGGCTGGAGAATTTACTGGGAAAGGCTTTCAATAACCTGGCACTGAATGACTGGATGGCTGGTTCTTTTGTAGCAGGGGAAGCAGGTGTGAGTGATGAGCTGAGGAGTCAGGAGCAGGTGAAGTGAATGAAGCTGATGACAGGAACAGGTGAGATGAATGGAGATGATTGTGGTCAAAGTATGACATCATCAAACCCCTGCCCCCTCAGGACTGAAAAGGTCATGTTTTACTCGGAAAAGTCCCAATTCACCTATTTCATGGAATCAACACACATCTTTTGCGGGTAGCTGAAGACAAGTGAGGGTTGCTTGCAAAACAATAATTTGGTCTGGTTCACTAGGCTAGGTAGGAGACCAGACGTGGTTGGATTTCCGACAAACATCACAACTTCTCATTTTTATTTACCTGGTTGGAATTTTATTGTATTTTATATCTAAACTAGATTTCATGTCAGCTCACTTCCTCCACCACACACAGTGTGTGTGTGTGTGTGGGGGGGGGGGGGGGGGGGGGGACATTGACCTCCCATACAAACTATTTCTGATGGCAAACTTCCACCTGATGCAGATAAAAACTTAATGAATAACTAAATCTAGACATGAGCTCATTGGTTGTTTTTTTTCCTCACAGAAAACGTTTCCCAAAGCAAGAAGAGAAACATTCAGTTCAAATTCAAACAGGAGCCTCTGACACACGGAATAAGAAATAAAACGGTAACTTGATGTGTTTGTTTATCTGCCTCAAAATAGGAGCACGACTTTTTACCACCAGAGAGAAAGAAACAAGAACAGCTAAAGTTCTGTTCTAGAAGTGTCTGTAAGCACGTGTGATGTTTCAGATCTGAGAAAAGAACAGAGAAGTGAGAAACAGACAGAAAGAGGAAGAGGAGTCAACCGACCCGAACCTTACTCATCTGGACTCAGAGGCTTTTATTTTTAGGATTTGGGCTGTTTTCCTTACCTTGAACTTCTGTTCGTCCTGATTTTATTCTCTGAGCTGCTCAACTTCTCCCTCCTGACTGAGAGCCCCGCAGCATCATTCAGAGTCCAGAAGATCCGTCCAACCAGGCCAGGTCCACACGGGTAGCCCAGGTTCTGGCTCAGAGGCCGAGTGGAGAGGAAGATGAGAGAGATCCGCGAGACTGGTGCTTCAGAAACAGAAGAACCGCCTTTCTCCAAAAGCAAATTAGATAACATCCGTCTGAAGAGACCTAGAGCCGCAGAATGAAAGCTCAGCACAGCGCCCTCTGCAGGCCACACACCCAAAAACTCTACCCGCTGAATGCGGAAAATTACAAATAAATCATCATCATCATCATCATCATCAGTAAAGTTTTTAAAAAAGAACTCAAAAAATGGTTAAAGTCTAAACAACAATGTCTACATGAATAGTTTAAAACTTACATTGATGCTCAAATTGCCTTATTTTTCTTTTTTATTGAAAATTGTTTGAAATTTTAATCTGTTTTCTGTTTGATTCATTGTTGATTTCTTTGTACAATGCATCTGGTTTGTCCAATATACTTGCTGTGTCCATGTCAAATAAACATCACATCATCATGCGGCTCTTTAATCAATACTGCAAATAAGTTTAAATGCCATATTTGAATATGATTATTAATAAAAATTCCTCATCAGCATAAAACTGCAGGAATGATTCAACTGTGACGATATTTTGACTCTGCTGATTAGAATGGTGCTTTATAGCAGAACTAGTGCAGAAACCAAGTTTAATCACAAACAAAATAAATTTGTTTTTGTAGCTGTGGCAGTCTGGAGTCAGGATCTACAACAGATGTCCTCTGGAAATCCCTAAAGGGCTCAGATGAGTGTCACGTTTTCAGGCTGCTTTTGGTTTAAAGGGATGACTGTAAGTTAATGATCAGATTCAACTGAATAACAGCAGAAATAAATCCATCTATAGGAACATAAATACATATCTTCAGATGCAACGATTTATGGTTTTAGGGCCGATGAAGATTTCTGATTCTTCTACAGTGGGATGCGAAAGTCTGGTAAGCCTTGTTAATCTTCATGATTTATTTTGTATGAATCGTTGGTTGTTATGATAAAAATGTCCAGTTTACTTTATCATAAAGGAGACACACACAGTGATATCTGAGAAGTGAAACAAAGTTTATAGGATTTACAGAAAGTGTAATAATTATTTAAACGAAAATAGGCAGGTGCATAACTGTGGGCACTTTTGTCATTTCATTGATTCCGAAACTTTTAGAATTAATTATTAGAACCCAAAATTGGTTTAACTCTCTGGAAGCAGGCGCTGCAGATTTGCAAGGTTAAAACCCGCCTACCTGGTTACTCCACGTATTTCATGAGCATGTTTTAACTCAGATGTACTCCTGAAGGACTTAGTTGTTCGTCCTTTTAACAAAACTTATTTTGAGCCTGAGAGCAGCGCCGCCACTGTCCATACGCAAGGTACGCAGAGTGCGTAGGGCCTCGGTACCTGGTGGGCGGGGGGTGGGGGGCAAAAAATTATTACAGATTTCAGTTATTGTTACAGCAGCATATTGCAGAAAACATACAAATTAGTTGCCCACCGTTTGAGCTGTTGAGAGTTATCTTAATTTTGTAGCCCGTCAGTCACAATTCGGGCTAAATAGCTATTCTTATAATTTACAAACATTACCCCCGCAGCCAGTAGCGGTTTTAGGCACGGGCAGACAGGGCAGTTGCCCGGGGCGGCATTTTTTCATGACACAAAAGGGGCGCACAAGCGCGGAGTAAAAAAAAAAAAAAAAGGAAATCTGCGCCGCACCGAGGTTTTCTATTATCTGTCATATGACAGTGTCTGGATTGGAAACAGCAAGTTGGCGCCCCCTGCAGCTGCAGGCGCTCCTGCTGACTGAGAACGTTCACGTGCACCGTGTGTCTATGAAGAACAGGAAGGGGAGGGGTGCGGCGGGGGAATTCACCTCTGCGTCTTTCCCAAATGAAATGAGCGTGCAGGGGCTGAATCAACTGTATTAACATGGCTAAAGTCAATCACATCTTAACGTTCTTCCATATTTCATTCATAATATCATAAACACAGGCCTATCATTCTTTCAGGTTTCTCTGAATTGTGTGAAATGACCGAATAAAAAAAGGAAAAACAAAACGATTTTGTGGTCACACCCCCATCAAGGTCAAATTGTTTAGTCCTGACTAAAGGAAACTTACTGAGTCAGGAGCCAAACAGAAGAGATGAACATAAAAAGGCTAAAACCACCAGGTGCCCGATTCAGGGGGAAAAAAAGAAAAAAGAGGAGAAAGATAAAGGTATGTAGCTCTCATGATGCATGTTTTCAATTTTTTGAACAAGTTAACTGGGATTTTAACGGTTAAATGCGGTCAACTAATTGCTAACAGAGCTAATAGGGCTGAAATATTGAAACGAATATTCAAATGGTTCGAAAAAAGTCCTTGAATCGTTTTTTACTGATTCAAACTAGCATTTGTTAAATGCTCACTGCAGCCTGTGGCCTGCCTGAACAACAACAAACACATGTTGATCATGTTCACATAATAATAAATAAAACAACTCTACAAGCAGAAGGAAACTCCCCAGTCACCACTAACTATCCTGTTTATTTATTGCAGATGGCTGCACTGATTATTTTTACATGATTTGTTCTGTAAAAGTTGGCATTTTTGGTAGTCTACAGTTTTTTTTATGTTAGTTTAAATTACAATTTCAGAGGCAATTCTAAAATATTATGGATCATGATAAAGATCTATTGGAGATCTACCCCAACTTTTGGACTGCTCTGCCAGTCACTGTGGCTCAAGCTGAGAGGAGCTTTTCAAAACTTGATCAAGTCATACCTGAGGTCACCTATGTTTCAGGGGCGGCTCACTAACCTGGCTCTGATTAGTATCAATCACTCAGTGGGGGAGCAGATTTCATGTGATGACATTATTGATGACGTTGCATCAAGGTTAGGTTTTAATTTTAGTTTGTGTTTTCTATTCTAAGTGCAATGCTGTAGTGATTATCTTTAGTTTGTTATGTGTGAAATATTTTTGCTATTTAGAATATTTATTATATATTATGTTAATATATTCTTAATATTTAGTTATTGTTTGTTTTTGTATATTTGATTCTATATATTTTGATACAGTATATAATGTATAGTGCTTTACATTCTGACAACTTCATAGTAATTAATGTAAATATGTGCAACTTAGAAAAATGAATGTTCAATAGTCGTTCTAATAAAACATGCCTGTTTGTAGAAAACATGCGTGTGTTCGTGCAGGTGGGGTGGTGTGGTGGTGGTGGTGGGGGCGGTTGGGGGGGGGGGGGGGGCGCTCAATGGGAGCCTCGCCCGGGGAGTAATTAGATGTAGAACCGCCACTGCCCGCAGCATAAGATGTGACGGTAGAAGGCGGCCGCCCATGCACTCTGAATCGTGGCGACCACATCATACGGCAGCCCAGAACCCTCTAAGCGTGACCGCTCAGCGGCCAGACCCACAGCCGTTGGCCTATTTCTGAAGGATGTTTGACTATCCCATCTGCCTGGAGAAGGGCGTCCGCCCTCCACGGGAGCCTCCACGGGGAGCCGGACACTAGCGCTTGCAGGTCCGGAAAACATGACGCGGACAAGCATCTGGGAGCTACCAGATTTACAGAGAGCTGTTAAGACTGAACTTGGTCCAGGAGTTGAGGAATCAGTGGGACAGGCGAAAACGCATGCAGGAGCGTCTGAGGCCATGGTTGGTGTGAGAAGGCGTCCGCTCCGAGCGGGGGTTGGTCCCGGGGACTCAGGGAAAACCACAGGCGACACTGAGCGTTTTCGAGAGCCGCAAACAGATCCACAGATGGTTCCCTGAGCTTGATCCAGATCTGTGATATCAGTGCGGGATGCAGACGTCAGTCGGAGTCGCGGGGTCCCCCTATTGAGAGGATGTCTGCTGCCACATTCAAGACCCCCGGAATGTAGGTGGCTTTGATGGACAGCAGGTGCACATGTGCCCAACACATTAAATCTGTGGCTATGCGCAATAGTGGGAGGGAACTCCCCCTTGGCGATTTATGTAGGCGGCCACCACCTGTTTGTCTGTGTGAACTTCGACATGACGGCCCTCGAGGAGGGCAGCGAAGTGTCTGATCACATTCCTCACTGTCATAAGCTCCAACACATTTATGTGCTCGTGCGTGTGGGAGGGCCAGCGATCTGCCACAGTATGGGATAAGCATTCCCCCCCATCCCAACAGTGACGCATCCGTAAAAAAAGATACGTGTGACATAGGACGTCCAATGGGAACCCCGTGTGAGAGGATGCAGGGATTGCCCCAGTGAGCGAGGTCCCCGCCCACCGAAGGGGGAACCCTCAACATAAGTCTCTTCTGACGTATCGGGTGTACCTGGAGGCGGATGAACCAACGCTGTAGGCGTCTCGTGTGCAGTAAACCTAACGGCATCATAGCGTGGGCTGCAGCCATCATGCTCAGAAGTTTCATAACTAACAGGGCTCTCACCATCTTGCGGGGTTGCACGCGGGAGATCACAGTGGTGAGATCTGCCGCTCTCGTCGGAGACAGACGTGCTCTCATTAGGGAGGCGTTCAGCTCCACCCCGAGAAACACAATCGACTGGGATGGAAGGATGGAGCTCTTTCCCCAGTTTATGGAAAACCCCAGGGTTGACAGATTCTCTATTAACTTCCTGGTTTGCTCTGATGCTTCGTCCTTGGACCGGGCGCATAGGAGCAGATTGTCCAGGTAAAATAAAACCCTCATTCCCGCCGTGCGCAATGGCTGCAGAGCAGTCTCCAGACATTTGGAGAAGGTGCGTGGGGCTAGTGAGTGGCCAAAAGGGAGATGATTGAACTGGTATTGAACTCCCTTGAATGAGAAGCGGAGGAACTTCCGGTGTTTGGGAATTAGTGGGATGTGGAAGTATGCGTCTTTCAGGTCTGTCGACGTGAACCAGTCCCCGGAGCCAAGGGCGTCAGTTTGTTTTCAGAATTGCTGGGGACAATAACCATACATTTGAGTGGGGTTTAACAATTGCTGGGGACAATAAAGTAGGCTAGCACAGGGGTCGGCAATCCGCGGCTCTGGAGCCGCATGCGGCTCTTCCATCCATCTGATGAAGCTCTCTGTGCTTGTAAAATAATAAATGGATATTTCAATGAAATGCTTTATATTTTACTGCATTAATTTTACACCTGTATGCCAATTCTAAATGTAGATTGTCTGCGTAAAC